AAAATAAAAAAATAAATGAATCAAAAATTTCAAAAATATATGGAGAAATAAAGGATTCTGACAAGAAAACATCAAAATATGTGGGATGTGGATATAATGCAGCCAAGAGGGAAATTCTTAGGACTGAATGCTTACTTTAGAAAATGGGAAAATATTCAAGTGTATCATCTGAATTTATACCTCAACAGAGCAGCAAAAGAACAAAATAAGTATAAACCAAACATAGGAATTGGAATATAATGACAGAGTGTAAATCAGTGAAATCAAAAGCAGTACAATAGTGCAGAAAATCCACGAAACAGAAAGTGGTTCTTTGACAGTGATAAAGTTGATAAACCTCTGGTAAGTATGATAAAGATAAAAATAAGAAGGGCTCAAATTGCCAGTGAAAAGTGAAAGAGGACCAAGTTAGTATCCCCTGATGTCCCTTCGTACAAGCTCATCTGCTGGTGTCTAGTCAGCCTATCTAGAGTCATTCCCTTAAAGAAGATAAGCTCTTCCTCACCCAGTTAAGAAATTTTACAAAATCTCTTCTGGAAAACAGAAAATGATTTCAGTAAACATTCACAGCTCATTTTAGGAGACAGGACTTCCCCTGATAGACAGTATGAAGAAAACAAAAGTGCAGACCAATACCTCTCACCGACCTAGGTAGCAAAATCATCAACCAAACGTTAACAAATTAAATCTGGCAACATGTGACATGAAGTGCATACTGTAACAAAGTGGAATTCAACCCTGACATGCAAGTATGTTTCATAACTAAAAAGTGAGTTAAACTCAATTCCCTGTATCAACAGATTAAAGGAGAAAAGTCCTGGGAATGTACTGATTTGCACAGGAAAAAAAATTGATAGCATTCAACTACCTTTAGTGGTAACAATAAAACAGAACTTTTATTGTCACTAAGCCTAGTTTGTTTTCAAGCGAACTGGGAAAAGAGGGAATGTCTGCCTTTATTTCTCTTTCACATTCCCTACTCACCACTCAAGGACTTTCTTTTCTCCCTACAGTTAAGAGTTATGTAATTTGGGAGTCTTTTAGATAGATCCACTGAAGGGCTACCCCAGTTGCCTCACCCTGC